CTCTCTCTCTCTCTCTCTCTCAGTCTGTCTTCTGTGAGCATCAGAGCCCCTGGACTGTGCGGTTTTTGGTGTCTTAGTTGTATTTTTTGTTTGTTTATTCTCACTTTCTTTCTCTCCTTGTCTCTTTCTTTCTTTCTTTACCTCTTTCCATCTCTATCTCTCTCCACCACGAGCAACAGAACCCTAGCATGGAGGGATGGACTAGTATCAATATTTTATTAGTGCGCTAGGCTGTGCGCAGAAATATCTATAATATGCTTTTAAATGGAGATAAATGTAATAAGCAAAATTAAAACTTTAAAACCCGGAAAGTATTGAAGACCCAAGAGCAACAGCAAGGTCAAGGAAAGCTTATGTATGTGATTTCGAGAAAATGAGCAAAAACAACATTCATTAAATAGACATAAGTAAGTTCCGATTATAGGGCTTAACTTGACTTTTTGCAGGACTTGATCTTGGTGTTGCTTTGAGGCTTTACATTTTTGAAGAAGAATAACTGGACGTAGACACAGAAAAGAGCTTCGTTGGTGCTATTATTATATTAAAGACCCTTGTAGCTGCTTTTGTATGACAATAGTATGCAAAACTCTATATTTAGGAAGATGTGACGTTACCTTGCTGGGTTTTTTTCAGGACTTCAATTAATGTGCACAATAGGCGGAGAAAAAAAATGTCGGTTTCATCGAATTCATTATTTTGGCATGTACCTGACTTCATACCGGGTTGATGTGAGACATTGAAAGCATCTCAGACTAGTATAAATACTATCCAGGTTATCTTGAACACGTGTCTAAGGAAGTGACTGAGGATCAGATGGACAGACAGGATCACCAAAGAGGAAATATTAAAAAGAACGAGACAGAGCCCAGTCAGAGATGAGGTAGGAAGAAGGTGTTGGCGATGGATTGGACACACTTTCAGGGAATCAAGCAGCTCCATAACAAGGAAAGTGTTAGATTGGAACCCACAGGGTAAAAGATCACGGGGAAGACGACGTTGAACCTGGAGAAGAGTCACGGAAATGGATGTACAGAAAAGTGGGAAGTCATGGAGTGACATCAGGCGACTTGCCCAGGGTAGGCAAAGGTGGAAAGTGTTTGTTCGTGGCCTATATTGTTGACCAGGGTGAGAAAGGCAATGATGGTGATGATTTTTACCTCGTGATCATAAACATTGCGTGCCTCATCTCGCTCCCTCCCC